CAAAAATTTGCATCCACTCTCTACATAACTTCAATTTCATGTAACATTTAAAATTAACCCTCCAACGTACTAAAAAAGAAGATGTCTTTACACCAAAACACCCCGACTGCAATACACCTCGCAAATTCCCTCACCTCAACCAGGAAAGTGGTTTTATTTTTTCCTATTATCTTTGTTTTTTGAATATAGGAGGCTCTCATCATACATTAATAGTAGACTAATCTTCCCCCTTATCCAACCCAAATACCACATGAAGTGGCAACGTATTTTTAGCGTGTGAGTCAAAGCAGAGGCGACGTCCCTAAAAATGCATTGGTGGAGGTTCGAACTTGGATGCTAGAGAGATCATTTACTTGAACCATATTTTGTAGACCATATGATGTTGACAATTGATGGTTGACTTTTTTGTTTAAATCATTAAACAAGGTATCCAACCATCAACGATTACATCATGTAACCTAATAAAATATAACCTAAAAGCATAGTCTCCCTAGCATTTACCAATCTCAAAACATGATGTTGTATTGAATCAACCGATCACCACCACTCCCAAGTTCCAACTCAAAAAAAAATAAAATAAAATAAAAAAAAAATCCTTGAAAGTTCTACAATGACAGAGAAAGTGGAAGTTGGTCACAGGGCCCTTTTCTTCACATGTCCAATTGGTCCATGCACCCCATCAAGACAACTTACCCATCAAGTTATGCACAGTGCACCTAAAGCTTAACATAAACCCGGCCGCAGACTAGTAATATCCATTAGGGTTTTTAAGATCAGGTTTTGTCACTTATATTTCTCTGTGCCGCATTGGTTTGGGTTTTCAGCAGCCGCAACGCCACCAACAGCAGCAAGTTTTCACTCCAACTTTCTTTGCTCCCAAACAGCAAACTCTAAACCCTAAAACTCCCAGCAGCCAATCTCCGATACATGGATTCGAATAATCAGTGAAGGGTTTCGTGGTTGCTTTTCAAAGTCGGTGGGAATTTTGTAGGGTATTGAATCGGACTTTTCGGAGCTGCAGAAATGGCAACCGCGAACCCTTTCGATCTCTTGGGGGATGACGACAATGAGGACCCAAGTCAACTTCTCGCTGCTCAGCAGCAGAAGCTGCCGGTGGCGCAGCCCAAGAAACCCCAGCAGACCCAGCCTGCTCAGCCTGCTAAGCTTCCCTCCAAGCCACTCCCCCCTGCACAATCTGGTCTCTTTTCTATTCATTTCTTTGCTGCTTAACTTCATTTCTGGGTTTTGTTTGCTGAAAACATTGTTGGGTTTGCTTGGAAATGGAGATTAAAATTTGCGTTTTAATCTAGTTGTTATCTTATTCTCACTTGTTGGATTCCATTGAGAAAGTGTTTTTTTGTTGTGTTTTTTGTTGAAGTGAAAAGTGGTTGTTTTGATAAGTTATTGATATTTGGGGGATTCTTCATTGATATTGTACATATCTGATGTGATGTGGTGTAAAGTTTTCTGTATGTGTGGCAGTGGATGTTCGTAGAGTTTGGTTTTCTAGGGTAATTAACAAAGACTGTATTGGGTTTTTATTGTGGTAAGTTTTCCATCTCCAAATTGAGATTGAACCATTAGAACTGGTAAATTGAAATCTAATGAATCGTGGCACGATCGTGCTTTTAATGTCCCAATTTTTATACTTTGACATCTGATTGATTATTATCTTATTAAGAGGTACGGTCAGGGGATGCCAGTTAACGGAAAGTATTTTGTTTTTAAGTACTTTGAGATGGTAAACCCTTATTCTTATAGTTCGTGTGGCTCAAATTTAAAAATAAACTGTCGAATTTCTGTTGGTTTAGCAGAGGTATCATTCATATTTTATTACACATTAGTAGTGAAGTTTTTCTGCTCAATAACATGTGCTTTTCGTCGAGGTACTGGAAAGATTTTTTATGGTCCTCTCTTGAATCACATATGGATATGGTTATATTTTATACAAATAATGTTTTAATTATTATGCATATCAAATAACCGTGTGTAACATATGCAGTGAGGGATGGAAAGTATGAAGGTGGCCGTGGAGGTGGCCGTGGTAGTGGCGGTGGACGTGGGTTCAGTCGTGGGCGTGGTGGAGGAGGTGGTGGTGGTGAATTTAATCGAGATCCAATCAGCAATGAGAACACCAATGGTTTTTCTGGTGGCTACAGACCATCTGAAGAGGGAGATGGGAAAGCCTCTGAAAGACGTGGTGGCTATGGTGCTCCTCGTGGCTCCTTCCGTGGTGGGCGTCGTGGTGGTTACAAGAATGGTGAGGATGGTGAAGGGGAACGCCCTCGGAGGGTTTTTGATCGTCACAGTGGTACAGGACGTGGGTTAGTATTTTACAATCAGTTCTTTATATATTTAACTTTTCATGTGTGGATCTTTCTGCTTTCTTCATTTTGATATTGAATATATTTGGAATATCAGGAGTGATATTAAGCGTGAAGGGTCTGGACGGGGGAATTGGGGAACACCCTCCGATGACATTGCTCCGTAAGTATTTATATTCTGATTTCAAGATGAATTTCAAACTAGAACTTTACAAAACAAATTGTTTCACATTTGTTTGGTATGTACCTTACTTGCATACACATTTTTGCTATATATTAGGGAGATTGAGGAGCCTGGCACTGAAACTGAGAAGAATTTTGGTGCTGAGAAGCAGTCGGGAGAGAATGAGGCTGCAGATGCCAACAAGGATAGCACTGTGAATGAGACGGAAGAGAAGGAGTCTGAGGAGGAGAAGGTAAATTATATTTTTTCACATTGTTGATGTTACTTTTCTGGATACCATAGATATAATGGCTGCAATTGGATTTTCTGATCGTATCCTTGTATTAAACTCTTACATTGTTTCACATTGTTATAGGAAATGACATTGGAAGAGTACGAGAAGGTGCTTGAAGAGAAGAGGAAGGCTCTGCTTGCATTGAAGACCGAGGAAAGAAAGGTTGATGTAGACAAAGACTTGAAGGCCATGCAGCTGCTTTCAAACAAGAAGGAAAATGATGAAATCTTTATCAAGCTGGTAGGTGATGGATACCCTAGATGTACTACTCTTTTATGCGATATGGCTATCATATTTACTTTGCTATTGTTTGTCAGGGTTCTGAGAAGGATAAGCGCAAAGAGGCTGCTGAGAAAGAAGAGAGAGCCAAGAAGGTTGCCTTTTCTTTTTATACCTGATTGGTCTTTTTATTCTGTGGTTCTATTCTGTTTCTCGAGTGATTATTCCTTTCATTGCTATGTTGCGGAAGATTTTGTGTTGAGAAATTGGACATTAGTTCTCCTGTACCCGAAACCTCTAGTGCTTAGTCACCATTGGTTATCAAAACGGGTACATCAGGGTTAAACTTGGAGGATAGGATTGGTTTCCAATTGTTGAAATGATCAGATGACTGACTGTTATCCATATTTGTGTGCAGTCTGTTAGCATTAATCAGTTTCTGAAGCCCGCTGAGGGCGAGAGGTACTATGGTGGTCGCGGTCGAGGCCGTGGTCGTGGGCCAAGAGGTGGATACAGTGGAGGACCTGGAGGTTATTCAAGCAATGTGGCAGCTCCCTCCATTGAGGACCCCGGGCAGTTCCCCTCCCTCGGTGGGAAGTGAGAGGTTCCCGGTTCTTCCAGCTCTATGCTTTGAATGCATTTGGGTGTTTATGTGATACCATTAGAGTGGCAGACTACTCACAGGAGAATATTAAGAACTATTTTAATTATCTATGCACTTTTTTGAGTGGCAGACTAGTCGTCATGCATCAGTTTTGAGTTGGAATAGGTTAAGGACCGAGTCTGTTTGGCGTCATGCATTAGTTATAATCTTTCTTGCTTCAAAGGGTTGTGCTAATTATAATCCGTCTGGCGTTAACGACCTTTACAACCTCGCTTTTCTCTAATAGTCCGATGAGATAAAACCACGCATGAATCGGGTTTTATACGCTCTCTCGATCTCTCATATCGTGTTCTGTGTTACGTTATGAGAGGGAGAGAGCGGTATAATTAATCTGCAACGGACTATTGGAGAAACAGTTGGCTTGTTTACTTATCCGTTGATTGAGACTCCATCGGTTGATGCGGGACTCCATCAAGTGCCTAATCTAACCAGAATGTCTTGCCATTTCAGTCAACTTCTGTTTTTGAGTCATCCTTTAGTTAATATTTTGTAAATCCTACGACTTGGTTGTTGATGATTGAATTATCATTTAAGTGTTAATTAACGTGCTTATTTTCTATTGGCGACATATCGTATGATTTACAAATTTGGTCTAAAAAGTTAGTCTACCCAGCATTGCTTTTTTAAATTTGATTCGCATTACAATTCGGAAATATGATAGTGTTATAGTATGTTCTATATAGAGTAATGACATGCCTACACACTTTGAAGATAGAGAGTAATGACATGCTTACACGGTTTGAAGAGAGTCACGAGTCATGCAAGTAAAAACCTAAACAAAACAAAAGAATGAATGAGAATGGAATCAACCATTCCTCCTCGATCAATATAATTTATGATTTTTGAAATATTGGACTACAGAGTGTAAAGGGGATCTACGTATTTTTCGATTAAATGTATTAAAAACGTAGGAGAAGTCATTATTAGAACAATTTTACTACCTATGCTTTAGCAAATAAAGTGGCAGTGAGAAATCAAAATAATTTTAAAATCAGTTTCAAACCATTACAAGAATGTCCAAGCATTCTTCTCTCATTTTTATAATTTATTTTTAATTTGTTAACCATGGTTAAACCACAAATGTAAAACGAAGACCTATAGATAGTCCGGTTAGAATATGTGATTATGAGACAAAAGCTCATGGCAAAAAGGGTAGATAAAAGCCTAGGAAGAAATGGAAAGTGAGAAAATGCATGAAGTAGTTGTAGCTAATGGAAGATTTGGGGCAAACCGAGTGCAGTTGCGTTTTAGGATTCATACAGCCCAGTCTACTTAGTAGGATAAAAAAATTTTGTTGTGGTCAAACCACCGTGGGGTGGAGGAAGGGTACCCACAAGGTCCGTCTTTGAATAAACGAGTCCGTTGTAGTCTAGTTGGTCAGGATATTCTGCTCTCACCCGAAAGACCCGGCGGGTTCAAGTCCCGGCAACGGAAATCATTTTACCGTTTTTATTTTATCAGGGCATCAATCGACTCTGTGGAATTGAATTGAATTCATTACTTAAATGTTTGAGCAAGAGCTGTAGTAAACTCAATCTTTTTGTTTTCTCACTGCCAAGTTGCCAACCATGGCAAATCTTAGAAACACAAAAGCACAACCGTGGTTGGTGTCCAAAATTTTCCCACCAACCAAACACCAAACCTCCCCCCTCTCCACCTTCACAATCCAAAACCCTCATTCCAATCCCAACAAAGAAGCTCTTCCCGCCAACTTCCCTTCCCGCCCACCACAACAAACCCACTTGGTGTCGACCAGTTACAGTTTCTGCAATCAATCTACACCGTTTGATCAACCTGAGTTTGGTGATGTCATTAGGTCAAACAAGATGATTACCAGCTACGTTCGAGCTGGGGATTTAGATTCTGCTCTTGGGGTGTTTGAGAAGATGACGTTTAGGACGACAGTTACTTGGAATTCGATTTTATCCGGGTACGCGAAAACGCCCGGGAAAATGAAAGAAGCCTGTGAGGTGTTTGAGAAATGTCCTGAACCAGACTCTTGTTCGTATAATATTATGTTGGGTTGTCATTTGCACAATTTGGATGTTGATGCTGCTTTGAAATTCTTTCATAAGATGCCGGTTAAGGACACGGCATCTTGGAATACTATGATATCGGGTTTTGCTGAAAACGGGAAGATGAGGGAAGCTCATGAGTTGTTTTCGGTGATGCCAGAGAAGAACAGTGTCTCATGGAGTGCAATGATTTCGGGGTATGTCAAATGTGGGGATTTGGACATGGCTGTGGAGTTGTTTGAGGTGGCAGCGGTTAAGAGTGTTGTGGCGTGGACTGCTATGGTTACAGGGTATATGAAGTTTGGGAAGATTGAATTGGCCGAGAAATTGTTTAGAGATATGCCAGTAAAAAATTTAGTATCTTGGAATGCTATAATATCGGGTTATGTTGAAAATTGTCGAGCTGAAGAGGGTTTGAAAGTTTTTAGGTCAATGATCGGAGATGGGGTTTGGCCAAACCCGTCTAGTTTGAGTAGTGTTCTACTGGGTTGCAGTAACCTATCAGCATTGAAGATGGGTAAGCAAGTGCATCAACTGGTCTACAAATTTCAGTTATATAATGATACAACTACAGTAACCTCTTTGGTTAGCATGTATTGTAAGTGTGGTAATTTGGAGGATGCTCGGAAATTGTTCACTGACATGGAACGAAAGGACGTTGTTACTTGGAATGCAATGGTTGCTGGTTATGCTCAGCACGGAGCAGGTCTTAAAGCACTCCAGTTGTTTGATCAGATGAGGAATGAGGGAACAGAGCCAGATTGGATAACGTTTGTTGCTGTGTTAATGGCTTGCAACCATGCAGGACTAGTAGATCTTGGGGTTCGGTATTTTGATTCGATGGCAAGGGATTACGGAGTTGAAGCAAAGCCAGACCACTATACGTGTATGGTAGACCTTCTTGGTCGAGCTGGTAGGCTAGTTGAAGCTGTGGATCTGATTAAGAAAATGCCATTTGAACCACATTCCGCCATTTTTGGAACTCTTTTGGGTGCTTGTCGGATCCACAAGAACTTGGAGCTAGCTGAGTTTGCTGCCAAGAAATTGCTCGATCTTGATCCAGCGAGTGCAGCTGGATATGTTCAACTTGCTAATGTTTATGCTGCAACAAACAGATGGGACCATGTTGCGAAGGTCAGGCGATCGATGAAAGAAAATGGGGTAGTGAAGACACCTGGGTATAGTTGGATTGAGGTGCAGAGTGTAGTGCATGAGTTCAGATCAAGTGATCGGGCACACCCAGAGTTGCCATCTATACATGAAAAACTGTTTGAGCTCGACCGCAAAATGAAGTTGGCAGGCTATGTTCCAGATCTTGAATTTGCATTACATGACGTTGGGGAAGAGCAGAAACAGCAGCTTCTGTTATGGCACAGCGAAAAACTAGCAATTGCATTCGGGCTTATAAAAGTGCCGTTAGGAAGCCCGATTCGCATCTTCAAAAACTTGAGAGTATGCGGGGATTGCCATCGTGCCACCAAGTACATATCAGCAATTGAAGAAAGGGAAATAATAGTTAGAGATACCACAAGGTTTCATCATTTCAGAAATGGGGTTTGTTCTTGTGGAGATTACTGGTAAATGTACAGAAGTCCGTAGCTGCAATGGTTATTTTCCCTGCAGTGTTCCAGTTGACTGGCGGTACTTGGGGGGCAAGCAAAGCAGTACTCCCATGGATGTCGCAAAGGGATAGTAAGAGTCATAACAATCTGCTCAACGAAACCAGTACACATACTTCAGGCATAACACCACAAATCTACACGTAATAGACGGTCTTGCGACCTCTGCTCGGAGTTCTTTCTGAACCCGATGCCGCAGTAACACCGTCTGAGCTTACACTGCTGTTTGAAGGGAAGCCTGTGACGCTCACTCGAGCTTAGGAAGGATTTTCTGAGAACTTACGAACTCCATGCTAACCTTCTTTGTACTCTGGAATGAGAATGCAAATTAAATTCACAAGAATATATTCTCTCTTTTCTTCTTCATTTTGAATTCATCTTCCCTACAACTTGACTATTGGAGAGAGATACCGCTAGATCAAAAAAATAGCGGTATTCAACCGAACATGGACAAGGAAGATGTTTGTTGAGTCATTACACTTGGCACTGGAGAACAATATTCGTTAAGAATGGAGATATTTTCATACATTCTGTGACGTACTAAACTCATATCGATCACAACGCGGTTGCTGAAACAATGGAAAATAAAATCATGCATCTTTCACATTTTGGGGAACAGAACAAGGCAAATACTGCTATTCACCAATATTCCTAATTTTTGTACAAAGTTTTCGAAAACAAATACATTGAAAAGAATGGAATCTTTAACAAAGTGCTGACAACTGACAAGAACAGAATCATGACGAATAATCTTCTTATCAAAACGTTATGATGAAACAACTAGTTTTACATGCCACGAGGAACACCGGATAATCATCATTTCCCCCGCTCCACCAATTACTTTTCCCCCCTCTAAGAAGAGCAGCAACCAGACTTTTGGTTCACAGGCTGTCCCCTAATCTGCACCGTTGGAGGCCTGGCGTTGTTCATCGGTTGGCTTGCCATCCTGCAGGTAGAATGTTTTAGTAGTCAGGCGGCTAGAACTACGCAATCGTAACTATAGCAGACTCAAATTTTACAGAAGATCTGAACTTTATGTTGCCAATGAGCAAAATTATGAGAAGACGGGTTCCTACTGAGCTATACAAAGACGACTAAAAAAAAAAAAAAACATGCATTAAAAGTACCTGTTCTTGATCTCAGCAGCCATAGCCATGAAGGCCTGCTCAACATTAGTGGAATTCTTAGCACTTGTTTCCATGAACGGGATTCCAATTTCATCTGCAAATGCCTAGAGAAAGGAAACAGAAGAAAATAAAATCATTGTACTTCACATCTCCATGAGTGGGTAAAAGAAGTCCATCAACAGTATACAATACGTAAAACTTAGAATCTCCTAGTTAATATTTACCTTGGCTGTCTCATAGGATACAACTTTATTTGCTGTTAGATCGCACTTGTTTCCAACTAGAAGCTTGTTCACATTTTCACTTGCATATCGGTCAATTTCATTCAGCCATTGCTTAACATTGTTGAAGCTCTCTTGGTCTGTGACATCGTAAACAACCTGCAAGAAAAACCCAACAGCATAAGACGAATATCCATCTTACACCACGAGCAAAGAAGGAAAAAATAACAAATTATGAGGCGACAACACACTTACAATGATACCATGAGCACCACGGTAGTAGCTGCTAGTAATTGTCCTAAAACGTTCTTGGCCAGCAGTATCCCACTGCACGCCCCAAAAGAACCAGTAATTAGAAATCGACCACAGAAAAAGCGAGATGAGACATTGTTTACATAACTGGTTAAACTTAACAAAACTAGATTTTCATTTGAACATATCCAAAACAGTTGCCAATTTAATCAAGATAGAAAACTTCAACAGAACAAATCTCAATCTGTGGCGCATTAAACAATAACACAATAAAACCTTACAATTTGAAGTTTGATAGTCTTCCCATCCTGCTCTACAGTGCGAATTTTCTAAACAACACAATAGATAACACATCGATTAGCAAGAGTTTAATCAAAGAAATCGGTGATGTAAAACTCAAGAAATACTTACAAAGTCAACTCCAATTGTGCTGATGTAGCTATCCAAGTATGAGTCATCCTGGTTTGCGAAAAACGAAATTCATCAATCCGAAAGAAAAATTCTCAATCACCGTAAAGCCAATCGCAATGACGGAAAATAAAATTAAGAAATTCGATGACTAATCGACTACAACTTACAGCAAACCGCAGAAGTAGACATGACTTGCCGACACCGGAATCTCCAATCAGCAAAAGCTTAAACAAATAGTCACTGCACATAATTCAAAACTCAAGTTACTCATCACAATTCGCAATCCCTAAACTGTATACAACAATCAAAATTATCAAGAACAACAACTCGACCCACAATTTTACATGAATTACGAATCTAACAGGAAAGTTCAACGGATCTGATCGTCAGCTGTCTGGATCTACACTCCAAAACCCTCAATTATGCAGACTAAAATTCAGAAATTTAAATTAAACTAATTTTTCCAATAAAATTGAGGTTCTAAAATCATCGCATACAAAATCGAATTCGATCTTTGGCATAAAATTCAAATACAAAATTTTAAAAAATTAGAAGAATCGTCGGATTGAACTCACTATTCGGGATTCATGGCTTGGACTTAGAACGAGTCGCGAGAAATTGGGGAGAAATTCTAGTCCCAACGAGCAGTTGCCGCGATGCCTGAGATCTTCGCCGGAGAGACGGAGAGAGAGAAGGGAAGTGGAAGAGGAAGACGAAGAGGATTGTGAAGAAGGAGAAACCAAGGAGGAGGGAGGGAGGGAACGAAGAACAGAGACGATGGTGCCCTTTGGTGCGTATCGTGTTTGTGCATCATAAAAGGGCACCCTAAAATGTCGGAATTTTGTGTATCGTGCCTGTGACGTAGTAACAGGGACCTGATTCCGCCACGTGTAATCTCTTTGATGAATGAATTTACCAAAATGGTGCATTGAAATAATTTTATGTCAGATATCTGGTGCATTGAAATAATTTTACGTCAGATAACGGTAAAGAGATTAAATTTTAAATCAAATTGTGTAAATCATATATGTGGTTGCTAATGATTGGATTAGGCTTTTATATTAGTACCCATAAAATGTTGAATGCTCCCAGATTAAAATTTAATATTAAATGACTTATTTACCTCATTATGCAATGACAATTTTGACCTTATTAGGTTTTTTTTTAAAAATAAAAATTCTAAATACACTCCAAATCACTTTTAATATATTATTTATCTTCTCAACTATCAAAATGTGAAATCGCACAACTAACCACCTCCATTTATGTCCATCAATGTAAAGATGCAGCTTCAAATATCTCAAATTCGTTTGGAAGTGCAGCTTCAAATATTTCAAATATTTCCAAGAGTAAACGTCTTAAAACTAGCCACGCAATAATCAAAATAAAATTCCCACACTGCATAATTGAAGTTCATGAACTTATTAATAAGCCATTGCTGATGTTACCCTACTTAACAAAGGTAGACATCTGTCGATACAAACTATACTAAGATGATTTCAAATCATCATTTTGAAATCATTTGGTAAACTAAACGCTCAAATGATTTGAGATCTTTCGGCAAACTAAACGTTCAAATGGTTAAATCAATCCCTGAAAATAAAAAACGAGTGTTATAAGATAAAAGAAATGTGGGGTGTATGTAGGGCTGGTTCGGTATGGGATACCGAACCAAAAATGGCATTTCAAATCCCGAATTGAAAATTTTCAGGACGAAAATCTCATGACCGATCCCCAACCGAAATTTCAGGATTCTTAAATTTTGGGATTCCAAAAATGTTTTCAGTATTTCGGAATTTCCCAAAACCGAACATCATCAGAATCCAAATCATCTAGATTAAAATTGAAATCATCCAAACCTGCATTAAAAATCCAAATTGAAATCAAAGACATAGTGACAGTGAATTAGTGAAAGATTTATGGTCGAGAGAGAAATAGAGTGAAGAGAGAGACCTATGTCATCCTCCTGACTTGAGCCCCTAATTAGAAACCCTAAGCCCCAATTCGAAACCCTAACCTTAATTCAAAATCCCACACACATAGTGAATCACTGAAGAGAACCGGAGGTGGGGATGAAGCCATGAGGTGTGGTGGTGGCCGGAGTGGAGATAGTTCGTCGGAGTCAGATTGTTAGATGGTGGGTGGCTGCTAAGCTTCGAATCCGAGAAAGAGAGAGCCTGAGACTGAGTGAAGGCAGATGAAAGGTGAAATGCAATGAGAGCGAGTGAGTAGGGATGAGAGGCGAAGGTTTTGGATTGGGTGGAAGGAAGGGTTGTTTCTAGGTTGTAGAGAGAGAAAGAGAGAGATTTATGGGTTGTAGTCTAGAGAGAGGGAGATAATACGAAAGAGACGACTGATGACATTGAGACAAAAAATAAGGGGGAGGAAAGACAGGGCTTTGTCTTTTAGAAAGCAAGCACGCAACACATCCCATTCCCATGTGCTTAATGCAACTTTTGTCAGCACCACCACACCACACTTTAGTTATTTTAATAATATAATAATAAAACATTACACATTCCAACACACACATTGACACACACACATATACACATGTATGTATGTATACATATATATGTATATATATTACAGTTTGGTTCGGGAATACCGAAATTTTCAAAGTGTGAGACCGAATCCCATACCGAACAATTTGGGATCGGTTTGGTTTCGGTACTAAAATTTTCGGGATTTTTGGTTCAATATTTTTTCGGTTTGGTTTCGGTATTTTTTTCCAGCCCTAGGTGTATGTACACAATATAAGGTGTATATTGAGAATGTGGGGTGTAGAGGTATTATGGGAAAGTATATGGGGTGTATTAAGATAATTTTAAGTGAAAGGGCTAATGTAGGGTGTATTAAGTATGTAGGGTTTATTCAACAATTTGTGGGATGTTAATATAATAAGCCTTGGATTATTAATTAAGTGTCGCTTAACGTACTTATTTCATATTGATGACACATTATTTGGTTTATAAATTTGATCCCCATAGCATTGTCCTTTTATGTTTGATTTTAATTTCGAATCGAAAAATTATTAATTAAAATCAAACACAAAATGATAATGTTGAGAAAATTAAATTTGTAAATCAAATGATGTGTTACAAATAGGAAATAAGCACGTTAATCAATATTTAAGTAATAACTTAATTATCAACATCCACATCATTTGGTTTATAAATTTAGTTTAAAATTTTGATATTCCTAGCATTATCCTAAAAGTCTAATTTTTTGTTCATTCCAGGTTACAGTTGTCTATCAGTTTTAGGATTTTGTCAATTAGAAATTTCCCTAACTCCTTATGAGCCCCATGCCAAATCTTTTAGACCTTGGCTTCTCTTTCTCATATGCAACCATGATGGCCTTTGACACATTTGTAGACGATAGATTTTAGTTGGAAGAGATGAGGTTTTGAGCTCAAAGAAGAAAGCTTTCCTTCATCACTTTCAATAATATTGTATGCATAGTAAGTTACTAATAAATTTTTATATGGAATGTATTTAACAGTATGTAGAGTGATGTGCTAATAATAAAAAAATAAAAAATAAAAAACGCGATATATATATATTTTTAGTAAAATACGATCTTTATTGCAAAGCAGAGATCACATACATACTAAGGATAGTGTGCTTGTTGGGCCTCGATAAAAACCTTGTCGGGGCTTTCAACCAGTCGAAGGAAAAGAGCGTCCCGCACAACAAAACCTATCCTTACATGACAATACAAAACCAATCCAACCTACAAATTTTCATCAAAGAGAACATCCCTAATAAAATTAGGGGGGGCTTCAAACCACAAGAATTGTTGAATACCTCGAACTCCAACACGAGCCAACCGATGTGCTTCTGTATTACCGCTCCGCTGCACATAATTCAATTTCACCTGAGGGAACAACTGAAGTAAGAAGCGCAGATCATTAATAATAGGTCATAAGACTGAGCAATCTTCCTCTTGCCTCTGCATGGCGGTCAAAACCATGCTCACATCACCTTCAAACACCATCTTTGCACCAACAGGACAAAACGTTTGAGCCAATAAAAGTCTTTGACGAGCAGCAAAGAGCTCTGTATGGAACGCAGATCTAGTCTTGCCAATTAAACCTGCAGCTGCAGCGATAAAACCTTCCCAATGATTTCGCAAGATGACACCAAAACCACCCCTCAAACCTTGCTGAATCTATGCTCCGTTGAAATTACACTTCACCCAACAACCATCTGGTTTTTGCCAACATTGTGGAGGGTTATTGGGTATTAACCGACTCCTTTTATACCACTACTGATATTGTCGCAGCCAGTCATCAGACTCGATCACCAGATTCTGTGCCCTAACCCGCTTTCCCTCCCAAACCACATCGTTCCTATTCTTCCATAATCTCCATAAAAGCATCAAACAAAGATCAAATGCCATTGTAGAGGACTGCATTGCAACATTAACTAAATTGAGATTGGTCGTCCTCCTCGACCCTAATCCCTAGACCTCCAAACCAAACGATTTTAGCTAAGTTGCAATCCCTGAATACATGCTTAGTTAACTCGCCATAGCATTCACAAATATTGCACACATTCTCCACATCCACCCGTCGCCTAACAAGATTGGTCTGCGTGGGTAAAACATTCATACATGCTCGCCAGGCACAAATTCTAAATTTCCTAGGCATACAAGCATTCCAAATTTTCCTCAACAACTTACTTAGTCCGTCATCAGGCTTTGAATTAGACCCATTAGCACCTGCTCTTGTGGAAGACACAAGAGACTTAGCCACATGATACGCACTTTGTACTATGAACTTACCACTCCGTTCAAAGTGCCAGATTCTACGATCCAGGGTCGAACGAAAGCTTAATAGAATACTCAAAATGAGATCTGTTTCCTTTTGAGAAAATAACTCCTTAACTAAAGCCACATGCCATTGGGGTAAACCTGTAACAAACATGTTGTCCACTATGGAATCCATACTCCAATCAACCGCTGGAGGGCTCAACACATGGAAAAAAATGTCATTGGGAAGCCAATTATCCCTCCAAATCTTGATAGATGACCCATCTCCCACTTGCCAATGACAACCTTTAAGAATTACTGATTGAGCCGCCGCGATACTCCTCCATACATACGAACAATTGGACTTTATGCAAGCACTTAGAAAATCAACATTTGGAAAATAACGGGCTTTAAACACTCTAAATGCTAGTGACTTAGGTTGTTGAATAAAATGCCAAGCTTGCTTAGCCAAAAGAGCAAGATTAAAATCATATAAGTCTCTGAAACCCAGCCTTTCCTCCTGTTTAGCCTTACACAATTGGCACCAATTGAGCCAATGAATATTCCTCTTGCTCGAATCACCACTCCACCAAAACTTGGCAATCATTAAATTTAATTCTTCACAAAAAGACTCGGGAAGAAGAAAGCATTGCATAGAATGCATAGGCAAAGCTTGTGCCACCGTTTTGACCAACAATTCTCGACCCGCACTGCTCAACAAGCCACCACTCCAACTATGCAACTTTTTCCAAAGATGATCCTTCACATACGCGAAAGATTGTTTCTTTGATTTCTGGATAAGTACCGATAATCCAAGATATTTATCATGGAACTCCACACGCCTCATACCAAGACAATTGGCCAGGAGCTGTTGATCATGATCTGTGAGATTAGAACTAAACGAGACACAACTCCTTTCTAAATTCACCGTTTGTCCCGAAACTGCTTCATACACATTCAGCACCTGCTTAATACTCATGCATTCTTCCAGCGTACCCCTTGCAAACAGGAAACTATCATCTGCAAAGAATAGATGATGGATGCTCGGGGCACTACGAC